TATATATATATAAAGAGAAGTTTATATCAAGGAAATGGCTCATAATTCTAGTGTTGGTTGGGTCCAAAGTCCAGGTCAGATGAACCAAGATCAGTAGGCAGGCCAGGCTGCCAGGCAGGTCTGACAAGTAGGAAAGCAGGTTGCTGATGGCTCCCAAGATGAACACTGGCTCAAGTCCAAAGAACCGGAAGTCAGAGGATGAGCCAGACGCAAGATCCAGACCCAGCAGAAAGCCAACAAGCTTTATCTGAGTGTCTAATATATTGGGAGCAGGCCACATTCCTGAGGAAGTATCCTTTTAGTTGATTGGCTGCTCATAGAAGAACTCATCATAGAGTTAATTTCATTGTACTAGATATCTTTATGGGGGAAGCTACATCTCAAGTGCCAAACCACTAAGAATCCTGGCCTACTACTAGGAAGGATCAAAGCCAGGACTGAAACCCAGACCTCAGAGATAGTGTCTGGTGTTGAGTCTACTACAGCTTGATGGGGAGAGTCAAAGGTTATTGTTGAATATCAAATGCCTGAACTGTGTGTGCAAATAAAAATTGTAACCCCCCTGGAGCAGTGTCATGATATATTGTATTTGTGTTCTCCATGGTTTCCATCCCCATATTGGGCTCAAAGTAGGGTAGTAACTAAATATCTGTTACATGCACTTGAGTAACAGAAGTTATGTCCACCATACAAGCCTGCTGGTCTGATACTGGAATTCTAGCTTGTTGAGTGTTATTAGAAGACAGCCCTCTAGGGGGCAATCTTTTCTTGGTATTAGCTCAAAGATTAGATTGGGATGGAGTGGCCTTTCAAACCAAGCCAAAAAAACTTTTCATTGTATACCGAACTATGTCTCCTCTGCCCTATAGAGTTGCTATGAGTCAGAATCGACAGTCGTGGGTTTGTTTTTGTGGTTTTATTGTGGCAGGAGTGGGAAATTAACCATGCTTTTCATAATATGAACTTTTTAGAAGGCAATCGTACAACATGTCAGTTACATTTTTGCCTGATTATGTTCTTTTAAATTGTATTTTCAGACTGTATTGTATGAAAACACATATCCTGTAACATAAAATTTGTGATTTTAACCAACTCTAAGTGTACAGGGTCGCTATGAGTAGGAACCAACTCCACAGCACATAACAACAACAAGTGTAGATTACCATGGCATTAATAACACTCAAAATGTTGTACAACCATGCCTGTTCTGCTTCATGTAGTTTTCATCACCCCAAGTTAACCTCTGCGTCATTTCCCTCCAGCCCCTATTAACCTCCAGCCAACTTTCTGTTTTTGTGAATTTGATTTTATCAGATATTTCACACAGGATGAATCATATTTATCCTCTTGTGCCTGACTTCTTTCACTCAGCATAATGCTTTCAAAGTTCATCTATTTTGTATCATGTATCAGGAATTCATTTCTCTTTACAATGGAAAGATATTCCATTGAATAGCTACTAGGTCATTTCCACCTTTTCGCTACTGAACAATGCTGCTATGAACATTGATGTTCATGGATCCGATTCCCTGTTTTTAATTCTTTTCAGTGAATATTTAAAAGTGGAAGTATTAGGTCATATGACAATTTATCAGTCACTCCTTGGAAACCAGATACAGGATCTCTATGAGTTGGAATTGACTCTATAGCACTTAACAACATGACAATTCTATTTGTTATGCTTTGTTTCTCTACAGGTATCAGGAAACCCTGACGAGCAGTGTTCAGAAAATAGACATGCTTGATAAATCAGAGCTGGGCGCTCCCACATTGGGTATAGCAACTCAAGAGATGTAATCAGACTCAGTGATGTTGTCAAGGACCCAGCCCATTCCTTCAACCTTGCCATTCTCAGTTTGGTGACTTTCAGTCTTTGGTATTCTGAGCATTTTATCTTCACCCTTACATAAAATGCCACAAGAAAAAAGGGATTTCTGTTAGGGCACTTCAGCAGTATGCTCTTTATAGCTCATTGGCTAAAATTGGGTCCTGTATGCCCTGCCTCCCTTGCCTTGTTTTTAGAGCGCCACATAAAGATACTTTGCAATGGTTAGCTTTGTTCTAGGGAACAACATTCTGAGTGTGTAGATTTTCTATTACCCAACACACTCTTATCCAATGGTTCCAACATCTGCACAAATACTTTGTGTACTATTCTGGCTACAAAATAGTTTTTAATTTTGAAATGACAAAAAATCTCAAGAAAGAGTTTTTATTAAATTTGGACTCATAGTTGTTGTTTGGTCCCATCGAGTCGGTACCAACTCCTAGTGATCCTATGCACAATAGAACGAAACACTGCCTGGTCATGGGCCAACCTCACAATCATTGCTATGCCTGACCCCATCGTTGCCACCACTGTGCCAATCTATCCTGTTGGGGGTCTTCCTCTTCTTCTCCAACCCTCCACTTTACCAAACATGATATCCTTCTCCAGGGACTGGTCCCTCCTGATAATACGTCTGAAGCATGAGAGATAAAGTCTGGCCATTCTGGCTTCCAAGGAGCACTCTGGCTGCACTTCTTTGAACACAGATCTGTTTGTTCTTTTGGCAGTCCATGGTACTTTTCAATATTCTCTTCCAACACCATAACTCAAATGCTCTGGTTCTTCTAAGGCCTTCCTTATTCACAGTCTAGTGTTTGCATGCACATGAGGTTATTGAAAATACCATGGCTTGGGTCAGGTGCACCTTAGTCCTCAAACAGACCTCTTTGCTCTTCAACACTTTAAAGAGGTCTTGTGCAGCAGATCTGCCTAATGCAATATGTCATTTGATTTCTTGATTGCTGATTCCATGAGTGTTGATGGTTTATCCAAGCAAAATGAAGTCTTTGACAATGTCAGTGTTTTCACCATTGATATGGATGTTGTTTATTGGTCCAGTGGTAAGGCTTTTTGTTTTCCATATATTAAGGTGCAACCCATACTGAAAGTTGTGGTTTTTGATCTTCATCAGTATTTCAAGTCCTCTTCACTTTCAGAAAGCAAGGTTGTATCATCTGCATAGCACAGGTTGTTAATTAGTCTCCTCCAATCCTGATGCCATGTTTTTCTTCCTACAATCCAGCTTCTCGGATTATTTGCTCAGCATACAGATTGAATAAGTATGGTAGTGGTGGTTGTGGTGTACCGTGGAGTTGGTTCTGACTCACAGCAACCCTTCTGTGAGTCCCCAAGGCTGTAAATCTTTACGGGAGCAGAAAGCCTCCTCTTTCTTCCACAGAACAACTGGAAATTTCAACCTGCTGACCTTCAGGTTAGCAGACCACCTCATAACCACTAAGAATGTAACCCTGGCACATACCTTTCCCAATTTTATACCATATGGTGTTCCTTGTTATAGTTAAAGTGGCTTCTCTAACAGAAATTTATACTCTCCTAGTTTAGGAGGCTGGAAAACCAAATTCAGTGCACCAGCATAGGGGGAAGACATTCTCTCTCTGTCTCCTTTCAACAGCTTTGGGCCCAACATTCCTCGGAAATCTCGTTTGTCTTAACATAAGTCTTCCCCCTGGTCTAGCAGGGTTACAGGGACCTTGAATCCAAAGAATGCATTCCACTTCTGACTCTTCTTTCTTGGTGGTTCTGAGGTCCTGCAGATCTCTGCTAGAACTGAAGGTACAAACAAATCCTGTAGATTGTAGCCTGCCTCGTAAGTATCATAGAGATTACGATTGACAACCCAAAGGATAATTATATCTATCACTAAATGGAGGATAACCACATAATACTCATAAGACATGGACCAGACAAGTTGACACTTATTTGGGGGGGGGGGGCACATTTCAATCCATAACTATAACATTTTCCCACATACAATCTATTTTATTTTTGAAATCTCCATTATGAAAATAACACTTACTACAGGAATTTGAGAATGTAGAAAATTAAACTATGAAGTAGAAAAAACTGCCAGTGATTCCAATACGCAGAAACCCACCAGTTTACTGAATTTTCCTATCATGATGGCAGTCTTTTTTCCCTGAGAAAATCAGATGAGGGTCCGCTGTTGTTAGTTGCCAATGAGTTGGCTCTGACACACAATAACCCCATGTGTATCAGAGTTGAATTGCTCTATAGATTGACAAGACTGTCTTTCAAGGAGCCTCTAGGTAAGTTCAAACTACCAACCTTCTGGCTTGTAGTCAAGCACCTGATGTTATGTGCCACCCATGGGCTCCGGAGAGTCCCATGAGCTTTTTAAAACAACCGTCTAGCACAATGTAAAAAATGAACAGTCTTTTTCTTTTGTTTTTCCATGTTAGGGATATATTATTCTCACACAATTTAGCATACTTTAAAAGAAGAACATGCTAGTACACATTTTTTTCTACTTTGGGAATTTTCCATAAACAATTTTTAATCATTGCAGACTTGATGAGACTTAATAACAACATTCCAACAATTTATTATGAATATTTGAATGATAACTTGACTATCATTTTCCTCATACTGTTTCGGAGTTTCTTCTATTATAAATAATAGTTGGATGAGTAGATTTGTACATAAAGTTGTTTTCTTTCTGTATTTCAACTTACTTTCCAATTTAAGTGTTCTTTTTAATTGAGTTATCATGTGACTTTGCTAAATACTTATCTAAAATATCCCCACCTGGGACCCAGTGTAGCTTCAATTTCTCCTGAAAGATGGACTCATTCTTTCTCCAGCTTCCATTCATTTTCCCATTTTGATCCTATAAAGGCTAGAGTACTAGAGGGTTTCCTCATTGTGACTGGGTATAATTTTTCCTCCATCATCATCCATGTATGTTGTTTACCCCATGTATGTAGAGACACAGTCTCCTACCTTCTGTCTCCATCTGCCACACGGGACTGTAAATGATACAGTTGTAAAAGGAAGTGCCAATATTTTCAATGATTAAACATGACTTGTTGGAGAATATGTCCCAGCATGGCATATCCCAAGAAGATGTCAAAGGTACAAACTTTGGGGAAAGATGGATATTACATTCAATACGCAACACTGAAACACCAGAATTTATTGTCTTTTCCTTCTAGAGTAGCAATGACTAGGAATATTTTCTGAGATTGTGGAAATGTTCTATATCTGTGTTGTACCAACATAGTAGCCACTAGCCACCTGTAGTTACAGAGTACTTGAAATGTTAGTGTAACTTAGGAATTAATTTTTAATTGAATTTTAATTAAGTAGACACACTGGGCTAGTGACTTCCATATTGAACAAAGTAAGTCTAGAGCATAGACACAGAAATGTGTAGACATCTAAGCTAACTTTACCTGTATCTCTTATTTTTCAGGGACCTTCTGGTTTTGACGGACTTCAAGGAGAAAATGGAAACATCGGTCTTAATGTAGGTATAACTACTTGTGGGCCATATTCTTCCTCCTATTATGGAAGAGGGTGGTGAAATGGTTTGGGGCAAAAATTCCTTTGTTTTCTAATGTTTCTGCTTCCCCTCTATTCTTAGGGGCAAAGAGGAAGACAAGGTGGGCCAGGGTTGAAGGTCAGTGCCTACTGAAAGGAATATCCTTTGCTCCACATACAAGGTTGCTTTAAGTAGTTCTCTTTGAAGTCAAGGGAATGCTGCTTGGGCTTTCCAAGGTTGAAGGATGCCTGTAATTTCTATGAATACCTTTTCCATAAAGAAGGGAAAGTTCACATTGTTCTGTCTCCCTACCTTCCACTATAATATTTCATTCAGACAGAAAAGAAACCAATAACTAGAGAAGGGCTTCCACTTTTGAAATGATTGTTTTTCGTCTGAAGAAGTGGGACTTCCTGTGATTACATAGGGGAATTTTATAACTACTACAAGCAAGGTCATTAATTCAGCTCACCAGCTGCTCCTCAGAAACTCTATACAGGGTCTGTATAAGCCAGAACAGACTCAACAGCATTTAACAACAGCAACAACAACAAATATGAATGGAAATGATTGAGCTCTCACTGTTTCCCAATCAGGAAAAGAATGGTTTGAGGTTGAGATAGGATGATATCTCTGCAGGAGGGAGAACTAATTTTACTGAGCATTTATCTAGCACCTGACTCTGCTCTAGACATTTATTTACATCACCTTACATAAATCTTTCCACAACCCCAAGGATTTGAGCCTCATAGGTCACTTTTTGTGGACAAGAGAGGAAATAAAGGTTTAGTAAAGTGATTTAACTTGTTAGGGGCCATAGAATGATTGATGTTGACAGAATTCAAACTTAATATCTGATTCCAAATAATGTTGTTCCTAGAGATGTTTTGTATAAATTCTGAATTAAGTTTATTATGTAGACTTCTCTGTGGCATAGTTTGATCAGGATCTACTGGTATTATTGTGTCTAGCATTTTCATGATTTAAGAATGGAAGAGATGTCAGTGATTGACTTATTGCATCTCTGAGCCTGGGAGGTGTGAATGTATGTGTGTGTTTCAGGGGTTGGGGGAGTCATGGTGAGAAATGTCCTCCTAGACACAAAAGAAGGAAGGAAGACTTTGTCTGCTGAAAATGCTTGAATAATGAGTGTTCCCAAATATAAAAAAACATAAGCATATTATTGTTTGACACAAAATAAAACATAATTTTAAATAAGTAGTAAGGATTGTAAATCAACTCTTATATAAATAGAGCATTTCTTATGGGATTGGTGTAATTTTAATATTTACGAAATAAACAAAGCTTTGAACTATATTGTATTTTATTATTTTTGTACCAAAAAAAAAAAAAAGTGGCAGAAATAAATAGATTGTAAATTGATCTGAGTAAGTAGAAATTAAGTAACCTAGGCAAAGGAGAAGGAGCCCTAGTGGCACAGTGGTTAAAGCTCTCAGCTGCTAACCAAAAGGTCAGTAGTTCGAACCCACTAGCTGCTCTATAAAAGAAAGATGTGGCAGTCTGTATCTGTGAAGATTACAGCCTTGGAAATGCCACGGGGCAGTTCTATGAGTTGGAATCAGCTCTATGGTTTTCTGGTTAGGCAGTAGAGAGGGTTTTCCTTCTCTTGAGTTCTTTAATTCTTTAGTGATGCAGTTTATCCAAACATGCTGAGTCCTCTACTCACTTGAGTCTTCGTTACTTTCTATCTTCTATGTCTTCTTTTTCATTTTAACCAGAACTTAGCCTGTTCATAAGTTTACAAGTCAGATGTTGTTGATGTTAAGTGCCGTTGTTAAGTACTGTTGAGTGGGTTCTGACACATTGTTGTTTGTTGTTGAGTGTAATCAAGTCGGTACCAACTCATAGCGACCTTATGCACAACAGAATGAAACACTGCCCGATCCTGGGCCAACCTCACTACTGTTGCCACGCTTGAGTCCATTGATGCTGCCACTTGGCCAATCCATCTTGTTTGGGGTCTTCCTCTTCTTCTTTGACCCTCCACCTTACCAAACATGATATCCTTCTCCAGCGACTGCTCCCTCCTGACAATATGTCCACAGTAAGAGAGACGAACTTTGGCCATCCTGGCCTCCAAGGAGCACTCTGACTGCACTTCTTCCAACACAGATCTGTTGGTTCTTTTGGCAGCCCATGGCACTTTGGATATTCTCCTCCAACACCATAACTCAAAGGCATCAATTCTTCTATGGTCTTCTTTATTCACTGTCCAGCTTTCACATGCATATGAGGTTATTGAAAACACCATGGCTTGATGTCTGACCCACAGTGACCCTGTATTTCCGAGGAGCAGCTGGTGAGCTTGAACCACTGACCTTTTGGTTCAAATCGACTTTGCAGTCTGATGTATTAACCCACAGCACCACACCACCCCGTATAAGGTTTCTGAGGAGTGGCTGGTGAGTTTGAATTGCTGACCTTGCAATTCAAACTGATGTTTTGGTCCAGTACTTATCCTATTGATGGATACACCAGGACTTCAAAAGTCAAATCGTACGGTTGTTTTTTTGTGCAGTTGATTCTGACTCGTAGCAATCCCAAGTACAACAGGATGAAACATTGCCTTGTCTAATACCATCCTAACAGTCATGACTTCGCTTCAGTCTATTGTTATAGCCACTGTGTCACTTCATCTTGTAGAAGGCCTACCTCTGATTTGCTGACCCTCTTTTCTACCAAGCATGATGTCCTTCTGCAGCAACTGGTTCCTCCTAATAACATGTCTTGATAACAAGTCTTAAGTATTCTTGCTTCTAAGAGGTGTCCTGGCTGGACTTCTTCCAATACAGATGTGCTTGTTCTTCTGACAGTTATTGGTATCTTCAATATTCTTCACCAACACCATAATTCAAATGCATTGATTCTTCTATGATTCTCCTTCTTCATTGTCAAACTTTCACAAGCAGATGAGGTGATTGAAAATACTGTGGCTTGGGTCAGGTACACCTTAGTCCTCAAACTGACAGAACTTAGTCCTCTTCGCTCTTGAATAAAGAGGTTGTTTGCAGCAGATTTTCCTAATGTAATACATCGTTTGATTTCTTGAGTTTGCTTCCATGAACACTAATTGCAGATCCAAGTAAATGGAAGTCTTTGACAATTTCAAACTTTTCTCCATCTGTCATAATGTTATGAGATCACAAATATCATATATGAAAAGAGATGTGGAAACTTTAATGTAGAGTAGCTAAAAGAAGTGGAAGAAATGGTGAAATAAAAGAGGTGAACAGAAGACTTCAAAGGACAGCTTGAGAAAACAACAAAGTAAATTATTATAATGAGATGTGCAAAGATCTGGAGTTAGACAACAAAAAAGGAAGAACAATTCTATTGTGATGATACTTACTGAACCTTATAAGAGACAAAAGACTGAAGTTGTCAAAGATTTTGTTTTACTTCAATCCACAATCAATGCTCCTAGAAGTGGCAGTCAGGAAATCCAAAGACATATTAGAAAAACCTGTTGCAAATGAGTTCTTTAAATGTCACCTTGAGGACTAAGGTGCACCTGACCCAAGCCATGGTATTTTCAACTGCTCCGTATGTGAAAGCTAGATAATGAATAAGGAAGATCAATGAAAAATGGATGCTTTTGAATTACGGAGCTGGCAAAGAATATTGCATATACGCTGGATTGCCAGTTGTTAGGTGCCATGTAGTCAGTTCTGACTCATAGTGGTGCTGTACAGTGTTTATGAGCAGCAACTGGTGGATGTGAGCCACTGCTCTTGCGGTTCAAACTGACCTTGTGATCCAGTGCTTATCCTACAGGACTGCCAGAAGAACAAACAAATCTGTTATTAATGTTCAATGTGTCCTTCTATTCTTGAGATGGTCTCTATATTGAGGTGGGATATAATCAAGGTCATACTTTAGCTCTTAAGGACTTGTTTTAATTTTCTTCAACTTCTGCCTGAACTTGCACATGATCAACTGATGGTCTGTTCTGCAGTTGGTCCTTGGCCTTGTTTTGGTTGATAACATTGAGCTTCTGCATCATCTCTTTCCACAGATTTGGAAAGTTGATTTGATTCCAGTGAATTTCATCTGGCAAGTTCCATGTGTATAACTGCAAAAGAATTTGCAGTTAATAAGTCGTTGATCTTGTAAAATTCTGTCATGAGGTCTCTCATAATTCTTACTATCACCAATGCCACATTTTCCATCTACTGATCCTTTTTCTTAGTTTCTAGCTGTCACATTCCAATTACCACTAACAATTAATGCCTCTTGATGGCATGTTTATTAATCAATATCATACTGCAGAAGTTGGTAAAAATCATAAGTCTCTTCATCTTTGGTATTAATGATTAGTGCGTAAGTTTGAATAATAGTCGTATTAACTGGTTTTCTTTGTCTGTGTTCTTGTTAGGTGCTATGGAGTTGGTTCTGACTCATTGTGACCCTATACACAACAGAACAAAACACGGCTTGGTCCTGCACCAGCCTGTCAGTTGCTCTTATGTTTCAGCCCATTGTTGGCTGCCACTCTGTCAATCCATCTCCTCAAGGTCTTTTTCACTGACTCCCCACTTTTCCAAGCATGATATCCTTCTCCAGGGACTGGTTGGTCCCTCCTGAAAATATGTCCAAAGTATAACTTCCTTCAGTATCATTATTTCTTGATCATATAATACCTCTTGAAATAATTGGACATCAACCAATAATTTTAGTACAGTGACTATGTAGTCCATTCATCTTTTTATATTTCCAGCATCATTCACTATTTTGCCCATAAAATCCTTCAATGTAGCAATGAGAGGCTTTTTTGTTTTTTTTTCAGTTCAACTTGAGAAATGCTGAGAGATTTCTTCCCTTTTAGTTTAATAAATCCAGTTCTTTGCACATTTCATTATAATATTTGACTGTCTTCTAGAGCTGCCCTTTGAAATTTGTTCTGTACAGCTCTTTTCCTTCTGCATTTCTTCCATTAGCTTTAGCTTCTCTGTGCTGAACATCAAGTTTCAGAGTCTCTTCTGACATCCACTCTGGTCTTTCCTTTCTTTAGTGTCTTTTTAATGACCTTTTGTTTTCTTCCTGTAGGATGTTCTTGATGTCATCCGCAACTTTTCTGGTCTTTGATCATTAGTGTCTAATGCATCAAATCTGTTCTT